CTCATTTCAATTGTCTTATCATTTATTTGTCAATAAACAAATGCCGTAAATGCCCATTACTAAATCTATGTGCCGGTCATGACCGGCCCGAGCGCAAATTACGACTATTGTATCCAGCGTTGCCAATTTGTGGGGAATTCCCCAAATTGTGGGGAGTTTCAACTAGATTGGGGATTTTGTGGGGATTCTAACATTTTATCATTTTGTTTAATCTATCAATTGCTGGTGCGTCGCTAGTTTCATCGTTACTGTTAGAAACACTGTTTTGGACTATATCGACGTGTTATTCAACACCGCACATCCCTCGTATTATTAACAAGCAGCTTAAATAGAATTATTATTAGCACATTTGGTTCTGAATTGTAAAATTACCAATCGGCGCGTGTTGAGTTCGCGATTCTTTCTCCCGCTTAGACCGGTCCCCGGTATGAAGCAGAACGAAATCAGCTATATATAAACAAAGCCGAGCAGTTGGTACTTCCACACCACAACTTACCACTCGTCAACTTTAAATATTAAGTATAGGTCGAAACTCATTGATTATTTCTAACATTAACATAATGCACAACAAATAATCAATTTACTTAATTTTGAAAGGCAAAGAAAAATGATTTTTTGTTCAGACTGATTACAGATTAATGTTGAATATAATTAATATTATAATTAATACGACAGCCTCCGTGGCCGAACGGTTACCATGCCGGACTGCCATGCAGAGGTCCCAGGTTCGATTCCCGGGTCGGGAGAAATTTTTGTATGGCCTACATTTATTTCTCTCGTGAGTTTGGCTGTAATTTGTGGTTGTCTACGTGTGTGTCCATGGCACCCGCGACACAGGGTTTTCCTAGTGCGGGGCTATGTTGAGTGTGTACGTTATTATTATTATTATTAAAATAAACGATTTAAGGTCAATTTTATAATTAGTGTTACTTTTTACATTCTGTTTACATTCACATCAAACGTAATAGATTATTACATTTTGATTTTTTAATATTTATTAACACAAAGATCGAACACTGAGAAAAAATTCCTTCGATCCGTCCGGATTTTTTTTTCTGAGTGTTCGATCTTTGTATTAATAAATATAACATACTAGTGGAGTGATTTCACAAAAAAATAATTGAATTTCGATTCAATAAAAATTTAAAATACAGTGAATAGCGACATCTCTCGCCAGGACTGGTAACTGTAAAGATATCTAACTGGGTGATAAAACTTTCATAGATTTCTCATACATGGCGCTACGACTAAACAGTCGTTGAAAAAACCAAATAAAAAGATACGACGCATGCACATAGAAGAATTCGTGAGGTCCGCTGGTTCGTTCTGTGGCTTAGTTGGCATAGCGTCTGGCACGGTAAGCTAGAAGACGTCGGTTCGAATCCGGCCGGATCGAAGGATTTTTTTCTGAATGTTCGATCTTTGTATTAATAAATATAACAAACCAGTGATGTCACAAAAAATAATTGAATATCAATTCAATAAAAATATAAAATACATTTCGAGTTTCTTATATCTTTATTATATTTTTAAGCGAGGTATTTCTAATAAATAATGTAGACTCGAGATGTGAGGAATTTGTGGGGAATATGAACTTTGCTCTCCCCAAATTTGGGGATTTCAACCGTGATTTTTGGGGATTTTGAACAATTGGCATTGGCAACGTTGATTGTATCGAATGATGTGACTTAACATCCAAGGTTCACCACCTCCACCAGATCTTTTAATATTCTTTATTTTATCCATTTTGTATGAACTCTGACAAAGTCTAATAGAGTAAAAACCCTAATTGTAGCAATTTTAAAAATAAGATCTACTGAAGACACGCTATAACGTGTTTGTTAATAAGTACAAACTCTATATCTAGAATAAACTTAAGAACACCAATTTTTAGAGTATTCATAGATTTTACTGGAGTATATAGAACAATTTTACTAAAAATAACCAGTTGTTCTACAGATGAACTTAAAATAAGGACTATGCGAGTAAATCTTAAGAGAGATTACACTTAATTAAGTTGTTTGGTATTAAGAAGGTGTTAAAATTTTGACTTGAGTGAAATAAGTCTATAAGAACAATGTCTTTTTTCTAAAACCATTTATAGTGAACTATTATCTAAATCAATACCATATTAAGACTGTTTATAGATAGAACAGTTTTAAGGCGTATAAAGTGTGCTCCTTGGGCACTCGACCACGGAGGACGTCAATAATATAGTGTGTGTTAAATAATTATCACTAATTACAGGTTTCTTACCACGGTATGCGTTCTTTTTATTTCACCGATATTTCATTACGATCCGTTATTTCGTCACGGGTTGACTGTTCTTAGTCAGACAAACTGTGACCATGAAGTGGGTAAGGGTTCCGAAATATAGGGAAAAAACTCATACCGTGGTAAGAAACCTACAATTAGTGATAATCATTTAGTGCATAAATACGAAAACCTTAAATGTATATGGCATATATATTATATTCTTAATGCAAGGTTAAGTGCAAAAGTCAATTTTCCAAATAATTGCAACAAATTCCAATAATGTAATTCTACTAAAATTATTAATTATTTTGTGGGCTAATCATAATTTCTCTAGTGTACTCGCATTCGATTGAGACCTCAATATCGAAAAATACTATCAAGTGATACATAGTTTATTAGACTTGGTTTAGTTACCATTTCCTACCCTCCATGCAGCTGATTTTGAATTTCATTATTGTGACTAATGATGAACGAGCAAAAGCATTCGACATTACTTACCAAGTTTATTGCATAAAGTAAGGCATTTCTTTTTATGATTTCAAGTGACGGGACGAACAAGTCGTGAGCCTGATGGAAAGCGACACGCTCGTCCATGGCAGTTGCAGTGTCACTCAGAACTGTAATCACAAAGATCCGGGCTTCATCTGCGGCCGTCACCTGAGACGGAATTTGAAAAGTTTGATGTGTAATGTGGCAGTACTTACCTGGACGAACCCTACAGTAGCAGTAGAGCTCCATGTGAAAGAGTTCGTTCAGGGAACTACTGCCACTTTACCTATTTCTGCCGCCAAGCAGTAATATGAGCATTACTGCGTTCCGGTACAAGGGACCTGTTAACTTATGTCAGAGAACAAGAAGTAATGAGAATGGACACTTTACGCCCCTCCCTAGCTTTAGATACCGCACCACGCCCCGCACATTGACGGTCACATTGACTGAAATAAAACAAGGCTGTCGGCGAGCCGTTTTCGCGCTAAAACGGCTTTGATATTTGAATATGGTTTTCATTTATTCATTGTGCAACTTATACGTTAATTGTATCATTGTAAGTTACTATTTATAATGGTTGTGAATTGTGCTGTGTACGGCTGTTTATCATCATCTAAACGGGATAAAGAGAGAAGTTTCTTTCGTTTTCCGAAAGATGCAACGTGTTTTCTTCATTTATTTAGTGCAGAGTTATATATAAAACAGATTTATTATGTCAATGTAGTGAGACGCCATAATTTTGTGAGCTAGTAGACAAAAGTTCTCGAATTTTCAATTTGTATTGCCGATAAATATTACGTCGTGAATATACCTAATTATTAACTAGGTAATGATAAACTTGGACACGCAATTTCAAATACCTTGGTTAGCTTATTTGAAAGTACCTGTTCAAAATATAACATTTTAAATGCTTTTATATATTTTTAAATAAATATCCAATATTATTCTAGTTAGTTAATTAATGATATAATGATATAAAATAGAATATTATATCGATATAAATAACTAATGAACATGTGCAATTATTAAGATTCTATTAATAGAATTAAGGATAACAGATTCGCTAAGAATTTTCGCTATGTTGCCGCTCTGATCACGTAAATGATGGGTAACCCTGCCACTTCACGCACACATTTGCACTTGTGCAGATAGCGCCTTGCTGTATGTAGGCAAATAACTTTCGACAGTCGTATGGAGTGTCCGGGGTGTGCTTATGTCTCAGGGTGACGGGCGCAGTGGCGGTGCCTCTCAGATTTTTATTAAATGCTGTGGCACTGTAACTGTCATGAACAGACGCGTCGCTTACCACCAGGCGCACAACTTGTTCGTCCCGTCACCTGGTTTCATAAAAAAAAAACTTTTAGAAGGAGCTCTACAGCTAGGAAAAGAACAATTTCACAAGACTTCATCGATAATCAAGCGTAAAGCGAAGCAAAATGGGTCATAAAGAGGCGCCTATAACATTCCAGTTAAATTTACAATTTCAGTCGAAACATTGAAAAGGTTAAAAAGGTTGTGACTACAAATAGAAAGATTAATTGCGACTGCTGCGGTTCGCTACAGTCAGCATATTTATAAATAAGAACGTTTTTAATGTGATATGTGATAAAGAGTGTTTCTGATATTTAAATTATGCTGCGTCTGACTTTACAAACCTTTTACAGAGTTTAATTAATTTATGTTATTCTGTTTGTTTTCTGTAAAAGAGAGTCCCAATGTTTTTCTTATTTGTCGCTCAAAGTAAGGTGGGTTCCGGATTACTCGTTCATGCATATTTCTGATGGTTTTACGAAGAGCCCACTAACATACAACCTCCATATAGCGGGCGCAACAAGCGACATTCCGAGAATTTAAATTGCCTTTTCTCTCTTGGCGGCAAAGGCCACTCGTACTAAGTGGATGTCCATTGTAAATCATTCTATTTTAAACCTTTTTCCAACGGACTGTGAGCTTTCCCATTCTTTATTTGATTCAAAATGTCTCTTTCATAATTTCCAATTAGTTTTTCGTCTGATTTTACGATGAACTTCATAATTAAGTAGAGAAATTTGGCTTAGTTGGTAGAAAAACTAGAAGACACAGCCATAGCGCATACGCAGCGCACCGTTTTTTATCGTTGAAGCACTTTATCGTCATAATCCGATACTGGTTACGATGACTGTTTTTGTCAGCCTCAGGCCATCTGTACGGGTTTTAATAACAAGTTTAATAACGATATTACGAATGTTAGTTAGCTGTAGAGTAACGTGGAAAATGGACGCGGCGCGGTGGACCGGCTTCGTATTATTTTTGTCGCTCCATCATGCCTTGGTAAGAATTTAATCACGTCTCAATTGTTTGCGACATACTCGGACTTTGCGCTCTAAAATAAATGATTGGACTCGGTTTTGTATCCACACTCGGTTCTATTTACTGGCTGGCTCTGGAGCTATGAGGTTTATTTAGAAATCAATTCCTGTCGACCGATATAGCTGTCGAGCAATAACTGGGTCGAAAGGAGGTTAGGGGATTATTGTGCCTGTGTCTGCTCAATGTTTATTTGAGTACGAACCTGCATTACGTTCTAGGAAAAATAATAATTGATTACTCAAGGTAAAAGTCGAATTCCACTCAAATTAAGTCGCAAGTAATCTCAAAGTCATACATTTTACTTAGACTATTATAGTGAAGCTAAAAAATGCTAATGTTTTTAGTGTTAAATAGAAATTGTAATACTATGAGTTTTGACAGGAAAAAGTAGTTTATGTATTTAAATGGTTGTTTCTTATGTAAATTATTATTGATACCGGGTGTTCGTCAATGACTTGGGGTAGGTCCACAGGAAATTATTCCAAAAATTAATGTTGTAAAATTCCTTCGATCCGGCAGGATTTGAACAAACGTCTTTTAACAAACCGTGGCAACTAAGCCACGAAACGAACCTGAGGAGCTAATTAATTTTTATGTCCTTCTGGCAGATCTTAGTTTCGATTTTGAAAGACTTTCTTGCCGTAGCGCCATCTTTGAGAAAACCTTTTCTTCACTCAACCAGCAGCTGTCTAGAGATGTCGCTATAATGATTGTAATTAAGTTTATTGGTGTCTCTAAGTGTTCGATCTTTATATTAATACCTATAACAAACTAGTGGAGAAAAAATAATTGAATTAATTAAACTTAATTAATGTTATACGTATATATTTCCAATTAAATTAGCTTCCGTGTATTCAACAGGGGGATCTGTAATATAGTTCCAAATGAATTAATTAGTTATATGAGTCTTGTGATTTCCAACTAGATAACAGATGTAATAATGTGCACAGGTTCGCGGTGATGCGCCGAGATTGTCACTGAATGATGGAAACTCAATTCCTGTTGTCGCTCTGGGCACCAGTCTCGGACATTTGGCTAATGCAAGTTTGTTTTTAATTTATAACTGGTTATCCGCTACTATGTTCGCGCTGAGAATATAATGTATATCATATTCTATTAATAAATTCTTAACTCGAAATAGCTATACTGCCGCCGTTAGTTGAAAGGGCGCTTGTGACAAAAACTCAAAACCGAGTAAATGATGTTTAAAGAAGAAAGAACCAACTTTTCTCTTAGGGTAACTACATACTTTTTCCACCTAGGAAAAAATTAAAATAGTGACAGACCGGCCCTTTTTTTTACTGATGATGGCAGTATACATAACAATACTTACGTAAGTTGACAAGTTTCACATGCCCGCAATTTCACCAGCACCCTGAGCGCCCAAGTTACACGAGGCGAAAGTTTTCGCGCGGCCGCCGCGCGGCAACTGCCCAGTTACCACGCCTTCATGTACATTAATGGCGAATCTGAATTCTGTTTACTAGGCAACAACATTTAAATTCCTCAGAGTAATACAAACGCGCGGTCGCCGCGCGGCCGCCGAGTAGACCAAGTTCAAGCCAGATTCGCTCACGTGTCTCGTGTCGGGACGCTCATTTAAGTTAAAACTAATGAATAGAGCCTATTTTGCCATGACAGTTAGACGCGGCGGTCGCGCGGTGAGCGCGATGAAATTAGTGTCGAATAAATGCGCCCTAACCCAATGCCCTAACCCTTCAAAACCGGAACCGCTCCACTCGCCGATGCAACGCCTGTGCGGCATCGCTCTTAAGCGACACGTCTGTCCATAGCAGTTGCAGTGCCACTCTGGGTTTTAAATCGCAAAGATCTCAGGGACACTGCCACCGCGCCCTTCACTCTGAGACACAAGCTTACAAGTCCCATGTGCTTGTAATTTCTGTACCTGCAAATGTGGCCTTATTACACCATGGGTGCAAAATCCAGTCGTGATGAATAACAAAAATCTAAGCAAATATCTAGATGTATTATAGACATTTCATAGAATTAGAAAGAAGAATTTTACGTGTGGACCGAAAAAGTGCGCACCAGCCCAGGTTGAAAATATTACAAAAAGTCTATGGCTCTTCCCCAAATATTCCTAGTATTAAGTTTAATGAAGTGTCAAGTCTGTACGTGTTGCGCCATGAATCATTTGGTATGTAAGTGCAGAACTGTGTTATTTTCGACTTCATTAACTTTAGCTGTCCACTATGCGGTTACTGTAGGTGATAAATGAATGAAATACTAATACCTATGTAATTACGTGCTTGTTTCTACAACTTTACTTTGTTCGTAACAGAAAGGAATAAGATATCAAGTTGTTCTTCATCACAGTAAATGTGATAACTGTCCCAGGAACAATTAGTTATTTTTAACAGCATGGAACTTTTTTGAAAAGGAATTTTTGTAACTGGTTGTTAAAAGTTACACATGAATATTTATTTAATTATGGCAAAAGTACGGAATGCAAATAGCTAAATTAAATGTAAGGTATGACAAATCGCGCACGGCATTATCATATTTTTCAACACAGGAGAAAAAATAAAGATAATTCATGAAAAAAATACATGATTAGAGGAGACAACAATTATTAAATTATAAATTAAATTGTTGATAAAAAACAACCTAATTAACGAAATTAACGGTTCAAAAAATTAATATTGCTTGCATTATTTTAATATTGCAACACTTTAAAAATGCGGGTGTTATAATTATATAACAAGTGTTGGTTGGTGGTATTTCACAAATAAAAAAGTAATGTATAATTAATTTACTTGGGAGACAGGGAATATTCACTTGTGTTAACACGGGATGGATACGGAGAGAAGGAAAGAATTTACTGCCAGCTCATTTATAATTTTGTCAGAAAACAATCGACAAGAGTGCACCAAGAACATGCAACATGTAAATTCGCGCATCGACGTCTCTCTCGTTAATACTAAAACACTGTCTGGAAACTCCAGACTGTGTAATGTTACATGCTCGTCGCTACTAGCAAGTACTTACGTGAACTAACAATTGCAACGTAGAACAATAGACGCTAAGGCGAAGCTTCAATTGCCACAAGCGCGCTAACTACACATCCTGAAAAACGTCCGAGTGAATTAAGGAGTCACTACAGTTATTAAGCTTGAGCCGGTCAAAAATATTTCAATGTTCATACAATAAAAGCGAAAAATAATGCGCGTTTCACTTCCGCTCGGATCACAACGCACAACGTCATATTCGCTTTTATTACATGGACATAATAGCTTTTCTGACCGGCTCAAAGCTATTCCGTATCGATAAGTGTGGTCACGTCCTTAAGAACATTACTCTTTTATAAAGTCGAATTTAAATGTTTGGTATCTTAATATCTCTAATAAAAAACCGACCTCTAAAGTTCGTAGAATTACATTTATTTGCCAAGTTTTTTTTTAAATCGATTGCTGGAAAGTGCGCGATGCCGGATTTGTCCTCTAGATTGCCACCCTTAGAGGTGGAATATTTTCTTCAAATTAATAAGATCACTACTGAGGTACCCTCTTTCCAACAAAAAAAGAATCATCAAAATCGGTTCACAAATTAAAGAGTTATCGCGTAATATACATATGAAAAAAGTCGAATTGAGAACCTCCTTCTTTTTTTTCAAATCGGTTAATAAATTATTTTAAAGGTTTCAGCAAACTTGGTTTGTGACTTTTTGGGCTTTACGTTTGACACGTTTGGTCACGTCTCTGATACAAACACATGCCACGACATTGCTAGCAGTAGCATTTTGTTGTTGCAATCATTTTTGTCAATATCAAGGTATATTTATTAAGATAATTATCGTGACAGTTGTCAATGACAGACAATTGTCAATGATTCGAATTCTGGTCATGTCATGTCAGAAGAGGATTTGGTATTGGTACGTTTGGTGATTTTAAAAATCTTGCAAGTGGCTAAAACGCTAACCGTGAAAAGCCAGGACCAAAAAAACTTAATAATATTATTGATGGAAAATTTAATTAAAAATTTAAACCAGAAGATATACATAATTTGTTGCTAAGAACCTTACTATACCTTTCCTATGCACTCAATGTAGTTAGATGCTATAACCCTTTAAAATAATACCATTCTGCTATAAACCAACAGGGGGTTAGAATATTGCCGGTGAATCACTCATTAGCCCGTGCCGTGCAGTGGGCACTGGAGAATGGCTACCGACACATTGACACGGCTTCGTTGTATCGCGTTGAGGACGAGGTCGGCTTGGGGGTGCGAAACTACGTCAGGGATAACCAGACTGGTCGTCGTGATTTATATGTCACTACTAAAGTAAGTGGATTTGATTGATCTATTATACGATGAAAAGGGATCATGTTCATGTAGTTCTTTGGTTTTATGATACAGCGACGATGTTACATGTTTGTCTAATAAATGCCTTTTTTGTAGAAAATAAAGGTAATAATAATAACAACAGGTGTTACTCCTAATTATCTCCTCTATAGCTTCATTCATCATCATCATTTAACCATTTTATAAGTCCCACTGCTGGTCACGGTTTCCTCTCAGGCGAGGGTTCAGGCCACAATCCGCCAAGCTGGCCAAAGACGGGTTGGGGACTTCATACGGTTTCCGAGAGTCGTGAAACAAAACAAACAAATTCGAATAAGTTTATAATCGATTTTTCTCGTCACTAGTCGTGACGTCAGACAGACGATTGGCGCTTAAGTTTATTCGGAATGAGCCGGTTTAAATGATTGAATTTAAACAGGAAAACAATATTATATAAATAAATTTAAAAGATATATCACGGGTTTCTTATAACTCCTGCCTTGTGTGTTGTAGTGTACTGGTTTTTAAGAATTTGGAATTATAATAATATTTTGTGTTTTAATTATTAGTATTCTTATAACTATGTTTGTGTTATGTGATTAATCATGTATATATTTGTACGTTCTTGACCATTATGGGCTATACAGAATATCAACGAGACAACAATTCTTCATTGTCCTCTGTAGCTGTGTCATAGACCCATTTGACGTATGTTTTTTTGATACGTTTTTACAATAAGATTCCGGATGTATATAGCACCTATTAAGATTATTATTTCCTAAGCTTAAAAACTACATTAAAAATATTTTGATTAAAAAGTCATATTATAAAGTTAAAGACTACGTGTTCGATAAAGATGTATGGAAAGATAACATGGCTCTAGATTCCACACAAATTTGATTCAAAGTGTATTCCATAGCAAGTTTATTTGAAAAGAGCAAGCAATCCCTAGAGTTTCTTACTCGTTCTTCTCAGGGAAGTCAGCGTAGCGAACGGGCAGTAGCTTAGTGACGTTTTCAAGAGTAAATTTATTTTGCCTATGGAATAAATGACTCTTTGACTTTGACTTTGTCTTTGACTATTACTAATTTGCATATTCTTTTCTTTGCATTGCATGTCAAGTATACTATTTTATTTTATGTGGTTGATGTGGATTCTATGCGAAGAAAAGTTGCTATTGCTAACATTTTTTGCAGCTATGGAATGATGCTCACGAAAGAGATGAAGTGATACCCGCTCTGAGGCATTCGTTAAATGACTTGCAACTGGACTACGTCGACCTCTACTTGGTTCATTATCCAATGGCGTATAAGGTAATATTTTCTGTGATTAGATAGTTTTTTTTGAAACCAGGTGACGGGCGCAGTGGTAGTGCCCCTCAGATCTTTGCGATTTAAAGTTCTGAAGGGCACTACCACTGTGCCCGTTACGTGAGACGGAAGTTCCAAGTTCCATGTGTCTGAAATTTCACCAGCAACTTTACCCTTCTAAACCGATTCAATTCAATTCAATTCATTTATTCATTCGTTATTACAGGTACATGATATAGATGGTAATAATAATTTTATGGAATCTCTGCAATAAGCCAAAGTGCCATACGAAGTCAATTAAATAAAAATGTAATGTCAAAATAATAATAAAAGAAAAATGGATACAATGTCAAAAAACTAATAATAATTAAAAAGTCTAAAAATATTAATAACTAAATGGTACCCAACTGTCAGCATTTACCTATTCTAAGAAACTGTCATTAAAATATTCTTCTATGCTGTAGTAACACTTGTCAATTAATAATTGTTTTAATACATGCTTGAATTGCATTCCACTAAGATTTTTTATTGAGTCTGGAATTTTATTAAATATTTTGGGTGCCATATCAACAACGCTATTTTTGTATAGGGCCGTTTTACATATATTTCTTCGGACCATATATTTCCTGGTACGACATAAGTGCGCTTGTGAACTTACTTTTTCTGGGAATTCACTCAAGTTCATCTTAACAAAAAAGATGCCTCCAAGATGTACAGACATGGGAAGGTTAATAATTTTAGGTCACGGAAAAATGATCGGCAACTGTCAGTGTATTTAATGTTGCATATGGCTCTGACACATCGCTTTTGGGCTCTAAATATAGTTTCTCTGTAGGTACAATTACCCCAGAAAATCACACCATACCTAAGGATAGATCCAACAAAGCCGTGGTAAGCCATTACCACAGTTCGGCGGACCGCAGTTTTCGACAATTTGTAGAGTGCATAGCTAAGCGTGTATAGTTTTGCACAGACCTGTTGCGAGTGAGTTTTAAACGACATGTCCCTATCTACAGTTATACCTAAAATCTTTGTAACATTTACTTTTTCTATAACATTGTCACCACATTTAACTTTTAGGTCAGGTAGAGTCATTCTCTGATTAAAAAACATAATTTTAGTTTAATTTGTGTTGACTTTCAGGTTGTTATTATTCATCCACGTAGCCAGATGGTGAAGAGTAGAGTTTATCTCGTTTAGATAATAATTGTGGTCACCGTTTGTGTTTTCAATAATTACGGTGCTATCATCAGCAAATAGTATCATTGGATAACCACAACTGCTGGGCATGTCATTTATATACGTTAGGAATAGGAGAGGTCCCAAAATGCTACCTTGCGGAACACCATGCTCTACAACTCTACACTTCGATTTGTACTGCTTGACCCAACTGCTATTGATACATACTTGACTTAGCTCTGTGTACTGCTGTCTGTTGTGAAGATATGATTGAATTAGGTTCAGAGCAACTCCTCTTACTCCGTAAATTATTTAACTTTTCTAGCAAGACCTTATGCTCTACATGATCAAACGCACTGGACATGTCCATGAATACTGCACAGGTAGGAATTCTTTGGTCTAGTTTCGTTACAGCCCTACATATTAAGTCATAAATTGCTTTATTTATTGACATATTTTTTCTAAATCCTTTTTGCTCAGTGATAATAATCTTGTGCTTTTCTAGGAACGAGTATAAATTGTTTTGTATAAATTTTTCAAAAATTTTGGAAAATATTGGAAGTAAAGCCACAGGTCTGTAGTTGCTAATATTTTCCGCGTCTCCCTTTTTGAACAAGGGCATAAGTTTTGCAAACTTTAAACTGTCAGGAAAAACTCCCGAGATAAGACTCAAGTTAATTATGTGACATAATAGTAGAGCAATGGAATTAGCCACATATTTTACAGGTATTGTGCAAATATCGTCATAACCTACACTATACGTATTTTTTATAGATAATATAATTTTTAAAATGTCATTAGGTATAGATGGATATTATATATATACGAGTATATATATATATATATATATATATATATATTGAATTCGGATTTATTTTAATATTTATTGGATTACTATGGTCACTGTTATTGGGGGCTATTTGGTCCAAGAAATAATTGTTAAACTCATTAGCAATTTCCAAAGGATCTGAATAACATCGATTATTATAATTAATTTTAGCAATAGGCTCTTTGGGATAACAACACTTACTACGATTAATTACCGAAACGAAGTGATGCTTTTTTTATAAAATGTAAGACATTTGACCTCCATCTCACCTGATGGAAAGTGACGATGAGGTCGACGATGGAGCATGCACACCTAAGTAATACCTATTCACTCTCGCCTTGAAAAGGCCCAAGTTATACCGTTCAGGGAACAAGTCTGCGAATCTTTGGATTATCCTCAACATAAGGTGGGCACCCAGGCATGCGCCCAGTCCCCCGGTGACGAAAAGGAGAAGATGGAATTAAATAGTGCAATTCCATCGCAGGTTCTCCGTGATATATCCTGTAAAATACCGATACGTAGGCAACCTTACGGCGGTGTTCAAGGCTCTGCAGCTTTGCCTCCACTAATTCCGAGTAATGCTAATATTACTACTTGGCGTCAGAAATACGCAAGGATGCAGTACTTCCCTAGACGAACTCTTTCACAAGAGGCTCTACTGCTCTTCTGCTACTAAAATGTGAAAGTTATTTTGGCGCTTTAAAAAGTTTGGATCAAATGGACATACGTTTGTAGTAACCTCTCGATCATACAAGTGCAAAATACAAATGGCCGTTATCAAAGAGGTAAAGTAACATTATATAAGTTGGTAATAATCGATTGCCATTATACACCGCAGTGTTAATTAGTAATTATTGCTACATATTGATTATTTTTTTACACCCCACTGATATATTAGCATATTGTTGTAGAGAGATGTGTACATGAAATTATGGGGCCATAAAACAATGTCATTATTGCCCTGCACATCCTGCAAAAAGAACTTACGTCAAGGAAAACTTCAAAAAGTTTTTCGCTATATTTTCATTTTAAAATTGTTGGAAACTCTTATCTCGGTACAATCTTTTCTGCAGAATCTAGTTTAAAGAGTCGAAGTGTTTTTGCTACGAAACAAAGACGTGCGCCGCCGAGGCAATAAAAACGACAAGAAATATTTTCAAAATTCTGTGACGCGAATTACAAATACTCGAGTATTGTCTTTCGCATTTCTTATACGTAGTAAAACTTGTATTATTGCTTTTATTTCGCTAAGCTTTGTAATGTAAAGTTTCGTAATAAATCGACCTTAAACCTATCGTAGTGCGATCTTTATTAGATATTATAAATTTTTGCTTTACCTTTTTTGACGCTCATCTATCATCACGTCTATGTAGTGAATCTATATGAAAGAAAGAAGAAAGAATGAAAATACATTTATTTGCATAGGTACCATAAATGACTCTACACAAGCAAAAAAAAAACAACACAGATAATCTCATTACAGAGTACTAAAAAAAACGACCTCAAAAGTTCGTGGAATTACATCTATTTGCCAAGTTTTCTTGAAATCGGTTACCGAAAAGTACATGAAACCGGATTCATCCCCTAGTTTGCCACTCTTAGAGGTGGAATATTTTTTTCAATTTTAAATAGGACCACTACGGAGGTACACTCTTTCCAATAAAAAAGAATCATCAAATTCGGTTCACAAATCACACATCGGTTCACAAGAGTTATCACGTAAAATATATAAAAAAATACAGTAAAATTGAGAACCTCCTGCTTTTTTTGAAGTCGGTTAAAAAAAGAAAAGTATATAATTAAAAATCATTCACACAAGTATAATATCATTGCTTCAGACAAATAAATAATTACAAAATCACAAACAAAACGAAAAGTATACCATCTATGAACACGTAGAATGCTGTGCACTAGAACTCTCTAAACAAATTTTATACCGTATCCTATCACATTACAGCATTTTGTTTTCTGCTGTTTTGAAAAATTATGTAATCGTACATAAACAATGATGCAGCTTATATTTATGTTTATAATTTGTTACGTTGTATAGAAAGACGGAAGCATCAGCGAAACGGATTACCTGGAAACATGGAAGGGCATGGAAGACGCCAAGGAACAGAATCTGGCAAAGTCCATTGGTGTCTCCAACTTCAATCTGACACAGATGCAAAGACTCTGGGACAATTCGAGGATCAAGCCTGCAGTATTACAAATTGAGGTAAGTTAATTAAATACATAATGAAAACTAAATTTTATTAGGTCCGTATCAAGTATTCGTTCATTATTCAAGGGAGTTACGAGTTTTCAGATAGCAATCACATACAAGAACAAAAATAGTGCATAAACAAATAGAGGAAAGCTAATTAGAGCGGAAAACGTAGTGTGCCGACGGCTATTAAAAACTTCATTATAACCATTGATTTACAAATATAATAATATTATTATTATCAAATAATAAATGACGATATAGTATACCTACATAACACATAGGTATTTGTATATATAAATATCACTATCCACCTTACTTATTTTTGCCGCCATAATATGATTATTACTGCGTTCCGTTTTTGAAGGGTAAGGGTGCTGGTGAGATTACAGGCACATGGGACTTTTCAACTAATGTCTCAGGGTGATGGGCGCAGAGGCAGTGCACCTCAGATCTTTGCGATTTAAAGCTCTGAGTGGCACTGCAATTGTTATGGACAGGCGTGTCGTTCCCCATCAGGCGCACGACTTGTTCGTCCCATCACTTAGTCATAAAAAAATCTAAATAAACTTATTAATAAATATACTTACTAGTTCATTGTAATTAAATTATGAGTATAGCTATTGGTAGTACAAAATGGTTTATAATTAAATCTGTTTTAGCGTTTGATTTTACTATATTAGTTAGCGTTTAAAAAAAAATAGGGCATCCACAATGCACGAAGTAAACCCAGAATGGCTACTAAAATAGTTTCGTACAAATTGGCAGTACGATATTATATGAAAATTAATATAGCACTGGCCGTTATAAAAGCAATTGACAAAGTTCAAGGCTTGCGACTAGCGGGGTAGTGCGACGTTGTCCCCCAGGAGACAAGCACTCTTCACGGACAGAAAGGCTCGATTGTAGAGGTTAAACTTCATAATGTTAATTAGTTACATAAATATTAACAACAGTTTTACAAGTCATATCCAATTTAGTTTCATTACATATTGAGTAGCAGTAGAGCTGATTTTGAAAGAGTTTATCCAGTGAAGTACTGCCCTGCCACCTATTTCTGCTATCTAGCAGCAACGTGAGTATTAAGCGCAGGCATCGAGTATATAATTAGAAATAGAGACGAAATAAGGGCCATCCATACCTGGCCACTCATAAGGTAAGTGGGCCTTATGTCACTTTTAAATATAAACCTCGTTTGCGCTGAAATCACAAATTAGAAAACTTAAATAGTATAGCGCCAACAATTGATCTGTGTATACGTCTCCGTATATTCCAAAAAAATACTGTGTTTGTTGTAAGATGTTGTACACTAACAATGGGGGCTGTTCCATTCGATAGCTTGGGAAAAATAGCATAACATCTAATTACAAAACAAACGGAATCAATTTTTATCGGTTATTAAATATTAAATACGTAGTTTTGCAATTTTCGTCCATTATAGCAAAGCTCAAGTTAATTATTCGATTTGAAGTAAAACAATTGAGGACACCCGTCAATTCAGACGAAAATCGGGCTGGCCAATCGGAGCGCAGTTGTCACAGTAATTATATGGGAGAATAGTTTTTAAACAAATTAAATGACTATTCGTCTCTATTTCTGATTCTATAGTCGATGCATGCAAGCTAAGCTAAGAAAATGTGTAGTAAGTAGTGACTATACTTACAACAACATATGTAGGATACGTGAAGGGCGGCAGAAGGGCGACATATTTTAAATCTAGCTATTTATATATTTATACGGGATCGTTGGTTTAGTCTAGTTAGCTCGGTTTGCTTAGTTCGCGGTGTGAACTGAAGTGTGAAAAGATGCCACGGCTACGTGAGCTAAGCTAAGTTAGCTTATCTTCGTTCGCGATATAGCCTGCGCATTACTGTTTCGGTTTTCAAGGGTAAGGGTGCCGGTGAATCTACAAGCACATAGTCACACATTTGTCAACTTTATGTCTCAGTGCAACAGGTGCTTAGGTGTATGCGATTTGAAGCTTTGAGTGGCTCTGCAACTGTTAGAGACAGGCGTGTCTCTCACCATCAGATGCACGACTTGTTCGCCCCGTTACTTAATGTTATAAAAGACGAGTGAGTTATTGGTTTTAATAGCTTGTCGTGAGGATGAAATCTTTCAGTTTTTTCTCGTTTTGAAAATAGGCAGCTGTTCATGTGCGAACAGGCAAATAGACATTGCTATTTTGGAAAGGCTCTTCGTTATGAAATGTTAACAAGTCCACATGATATTGCAAAATTAGATTTTTATAATAAAAAGCGATCACAAAAGTTTGTGGAAAAATACCAATTAGTCAAGTTTTATTGAAATGGGTTAGCCGGTTAATTGTTGGTGAAACCAAATAAACCGAATTCATCACCTTATTTTAAACCTTATTTAATACATATTAACAAATAAACCTTATTTTATATTGTAAACCTTAATATTTTTTCAAATTTAAATGCGACCACTACAGAGCGTCATTCAAAACAAAAAGAATAATCCAAATCGGTTAACAAATGTCGATGTAATCGCGTAACATACAAGCACATAGTCGAATTGAGAATCCGTCCCTTTTCTGAAGTCGGTTAATTAGTGAAACAATAATCATTATTATAATGGTGCTCGGTTTAAGGTCGTACACAACGCTGCCGTGTTTACGATAAGAACAGTAAGCACCTAGTTACAAGAGGCAAAAGTTTTCGCCGGACGCGTCTTATAACCACGCTTTCATGTGCATTAATGGCGAACCTGAATTATGTTTACTAGGCAATAATATTTAAATTCCTCTGAATAATACAACCGCGCAGTCGCCGAGCGGCCGCCGCGCGGTCGCCGAGCGGAGTCCGCGTTGTCGCCGCGCAGCGACCGCGTGCATCTAACAGTCATGGCAAAATACGCTCTATTTACTTAGGTTTTACGTTTTAACGTAAATGAGCGTCCTGGGCACGCGGGCGTGACTGGCTTGAATTTGATCTACGCGGCGGCCGCGCGGCGGCCCGGTTGTATTATTCAGAGGAATTAAAATGTTATTGCCTGGTAATTAGAATTCAGATTCGTCATTAATGTACATGAAGGCGTGGTAACTGGGCAGTAAGTCTATAATATGTATGTATTTCAAACGTACTTACTGTTATTATTGCAAGCACGGCAGAACGGTTCTGTATTCATATAGAAGCCTTTGCACATTACTACACAAAATTATTTTCCTAAATTTATATGGCCAAAGATTATTTTTTGATGTTGCCAGTCGATATAGTGTGCCAAACAATATAATGTGTTAGACAACAACACCAATTACTATGTACAACAGTGGTGAGTACAATTAAACTCCGGGACAATACTCATATCCACATCAGAAACAATTTAGAAAAGTTAGTTTCTCAAATTGATCCTACCGGGAATCTAACTCGGTACCTCCTCATCGATCGAGGATACAATAATAATAAACCTTACAAATACGATAATTAAACGTCATTCACCAATTTCTTTTAGAGATTTTTGTAAACTATTGCGAAATGACGTGTGTTACAATGTGGTCCGAATATAAAATCTCTTTGCATACTTCCTCAGTATTCTTTTTATGCGGTTTTAAAATACGAACATTTTACAATGCAATCTCCTTAGTGCGGTTGATCTGGAACCATAGAGTAATATATAACACATATTACAATAAAGTATGAATCTTATTTTAGATGACCAAAATGTAAACAAAGCGGAAAACCGAGCAAAAAAATAATATGATATTTTTCTATTTTTGACGATAATAAACGTTTAGAACGCTTTTCAAGCTGTAATCTGATAAAACTTAGAACAATTCGCATATTGCAATTTATATTTCCCTTAATTTCATTTAAGACAATAAGTATAATAAAGTACTATGTTTATGCTTGTAAATAATTTGATGTCACTGGTAACACAATCGGAATAAAAACATTCTTTGTGCCGCCATGTCGTTGTATCATAGATGTCATTCGTGCTTCGTTTCTCGAATGCGAGTGTTTTCTTGTCTCTGTCCGTAGTGCGTTTGATGAATTATTGTGTGGTTTTTATAGATTTTGTTTATTGTTAATATTTTGTAATGTATAATTAAAACTGTGGAAAATGAGAATATCCCCTTTTTCAATACCGTTAAAAATAAAGAAGGTTTAGCACATCTGCTTTCCCACTTTGTTAATGACCTTCCGTGATATTTCTTTGTTTACATTTTCGACATCTAATTATGATAGCTACTATATTATATAATAGCATAAGCAAGTATTTTCAGCCTGTAGTTACGTATTGTATAATATTGGTGTAATTATTCTAGTTTTGGCTATGTCACAGCTTAATAATTCTTGAAATTGTTGCACTATATTGAATTTCCGATAATTTATTGTGAACAGAGCGCTGTTGAAATTTGAAGTCGTCTCCTTGAAGCGTCATAATATTATAAATTATAAAATCACATTTACTGGATGGAAATTCAGAGTATTTGCTTTATATAAAGCCATTTTTATGATTCTATAAGCCATAAAAATGGAACTTTTATAGGCTCATCTCGTTCTTTAAGGTTTGCTTAGACTAATTTAAGATTTAAATATACTTAGTGTTCGGTCTTTGTATTAATAATTATAACAAACTAGTGGAGTTATTTCACAAAAATAACAATTGACTATCATGGTGCATGAAACATTTAATAAACTTAAAAATTACAATTACTAAAGCGACATCTCTAGTCAGCTGTAAAGGTACTTCGCTGAGTGAAGAAATAGATTTCTTTCAGATGGCGCTACGACAAAATGTCGTTAAAAAAAAACAAAGATCTGAAACAAGCAAATAGAACAATTCGTAAGGGCACGGTTTGGTTACGGCCTCAGTAGCCGAATGGTTACCATGGACTGCCAAGCCGGACTGCCATGCCGGACTACGACGCAGAGGTCCCGGGTTCGATTCCCGGGCCGAATATAGAAGCCGGGAGAAATATCTGTACGGCCTACATTTATTTCCCTTGTCAGTTTGGGTGTAATTTTTGATTGTCTATGTATGTATCCATGGCACCCGCGACCCAGGGTTTCCCTAGTGCGGGGCTATATTGAGTGTGTGCGTTGTTGTTGTTGTTATTGTTGCTGGTACGAATCCAGCCGGATTTTTTTTTTTTTACCTTTGTATTAATAATTATAACAAACTAGTGGCGTGATTACACAAAAACATTGAATATCATGGTGGTCAAAGATCGTGACATTCAATAAATATTAGCAAAAAATAGTTTACCAACAGAAAAAAATAAGCACAGGGACCTTATGAGTACAGGTCGTGATTTCAGATCAGCCCGTGGACAGGGTTGTCAGAGACAGTTGTCACGGAATTCATCGGGTGCCTCGGGTGAGCGGCCTCGGGTGTACGTAAAGCACCTTCCCTATTTTCCAAATACGTACCGGAGCTGTTGGCACGCTCACTTGCCGTTATGCATTGCACAACTAACGGTTGCCACCCCTAAGCCGTTGAATTTCAATCAACTACCTACTTTCCTCGCTGGTAACGGAGCTGTCCAGCTATCCACTTCCTATTATATTATATTATTTTCTATATATAGGTGAATCCGACGATAACTCAAGATGAGCTGGTCGATTGGTGTAAGGAGCATGGCGTGGTGGTGATGGCGTACAGCCCGTTCGGAGCCATTCTTGGGCGAAAGCAGGACGCTCCTCCCCCGCGTACCACCCACCCCACATTGCAACGTATTGCTACTAAATACGGAAAGACTGTACCTCAAATACTGATTCGCTATCTGGTAAGTAGTTTTGCTTTTAAAAATAATTGCATCATAAGAATATAAAAGAAACAGTGGTCGAGTAAAGAAAGGCTTTCATAGATTGCAATTGACAGGCAAAAAATTCGTTAAAACGAACATTACTCTCATGTTTCGTCAGAGTTGAACCGTCTGATGAAACATTTAGGCGCTAGCTGAAAAACCTTTTATTGCAAAATCCTTTATACTCTGTAAATGAATTTAATTTATGGACTAAAAATTGTAACGATATTGAGTATTTTCTATTTTATTCTAATTTTTACCGCATTGACATACTCTTGTATAATTGTTATCAACTTATGACGATCCTTGATGGAAAATGATATTTGATGTGTAATTTAATGAAAACAATATTATATAATGAATTGTTAATTTTGTAATTATTGTGTATTTTTCTTATAATTTTAATTTTTGTCTGACGATCTCAATACAATTTCTTATACTTTGACAAGTAGTGCAATTTATACTGTAATAGGAAATGAAACTATTTTTCCGGATTTAAATCGCGTATATTTGTTGACAGTCAACCGTGACCATGGGACCTGTAAAGGGCCCGAAACGTCGGTTTGTTTGAAAAAACAAATATACGCGATTTAAATCCGGAAAAATAGTTTCATTTCCTATGTGTAACAATCGCGAAAACCTAAGAACTCGATATTATACTGTAATGTTATATTTGAGAAATAAATGAATCTAAATCTGAAAAAGCAAAAAACAAAGATCTTTAAAAATGCATCGAGAAATTCGTCAAGTCTGCTGACTCGATCTGTACCCTAGTTGGTAGACCAGTTGCCCTAGATTCGCATACAGACACAGGTTCGCGTCCTGTCAGATCGAAGGAATTGTTCTTTGTGTTCGACTTTTGTATTAATAATTATAAAAGAAACATTAATGACAATATTTAGAGATACAACTCAACTGTTGCAATAATTACTTTCGAAAAAACGAGGAATCACTTTTGTTACCCACTTACATTTGTTTGAAAACACTCGCACTTAAGATACCAACGAAAGATTAGGCAATACATCAACAAGGTGCGATCTAAAGATATCTTAAGATATATTAAGTCCTAAGTTGTAATATTAACTTTATTGAATATCACGATGTTTTACTTACCATGATTTTCAATTATTTCTTGTGAAATGACCACTAGTTTGTTATAATAATTAATGATTAATTACTGTTATAATTAACACTAAGAAAAATTCCTTCGATCTGGCTGGACACGAACCAGCACCTTCAGCTATTGTGCCTGACTCTCTCCCAACTGAGCTACGGAAAAAACCAGCAGACCGTAGCAGTTGAGCTCCTTATTAAAGAGATTGTCCAAGGTAGTACTGCCATCTTAACTATTTCTGCCGCCAAGGGTAAGGGTGCTGGTGAAATTACAGGCACATGGAACTTGTCATTGTACGTCTCTCTCTTCTCTTTCCTCTCAGATCTTTGCAATTTAAAGCTACAACGTTACGGACAGGTGTGTAGTATATCATCAGGTGCACGACTGTTCGTCCCGTTACTAGATATTATAAAAACAAAATGTTATGAATCTTTCGATGAGTTTGTTGCAGATCTTTGTTTTTAGATTTTAACGATTTTTTTTGCCGTAGCACCATCTGTGAGATATCTATGAAATTTTTTTTTTACTTTTTTCTTTACATATTCATCAGTAAATCTAGTATTACAAATACTACAAGGAACGTAAAATATCGAAATCTTTTAATTTGTAGTTGGACCGGAATTTAATACCCATTCCTCGCTCCACAAACAAAGAGCGCATCATACAGAACATCGATGTATTTGATTTCAAACTAACCCCCGAAGAAGTCACTGAGATGTCTGCATTCAACAGCAATTATAGGCTCCGAGTTCCAGCCAAGTGGTACCCACATCTGCATTTTCCATTTGAGAAAAAGAACTTGACTCAAGAACAAATATATTACATTATTGAACACAGTTTAGAAGATTAAATGGCAATTTCTGTATAAATGACCACCAATATGATTTTTATTTACCACTACGATCTGAACATTTGACGGCCTCAGTGGCGTAACGGTTTACACTCTGGACGCTGGATGCGGAGGTCCCGGGTTCGATTCCCGGTAGGACCAAGTTGGGAAATGAACTTTTCTAAATTGGTTCTGGTCTGGGTGTTCTGCGATGTGCCCCAGAGTGAATTCCGTTGCTCTGGTACTCAAAGTACAGTGATTTTCCTAGCTTGGGACCAGGGAATTGGTGTGGTTGTCTGGCGCATTATTTATTTATTTGACATGCTAGTAATAATGTCTTCCCATGGTTAATGGAGAAAGTGATAATGCTAGGTATTTAAGGTATTAAGCATGTACCTCGAAGGTCGTTCCCCGAAGTCTTCAGCAAATGTATGAGGATGCCAGGAGGAGCTCGAATGGAACGAGTAGCATCTTGCGTCCACTTCACGCAAAATAAACCATGCCATATGTGTTTGCTCTGTGCAACTTGTTCTTCTTCTTATCGCATACGATCGGGTCACTAGTAGCTGCTGCTGCACGAACGAAACACGAAATGAGATGGGTCATCGTCTAAATCCAAAGCACGAACTATTCAGGTTAGAACCATCCGAATATTCCTAACTGAACAAATGGTCCTTACTTCGACCAACCTGAGACCGAAGCAAGGTTGGCACGATTAAATAGTTCTGATTTAAATCATAATTTAAGTCGTGATTTAAATCAAATGATTTTTTCAATAAAAATCAGTGATTTAATCAAATGTGTTTAATTTTCTTTTACAGAAATTAACATAACATCAGACAATTATATTTTAAAGACTAAGGTCTTATATATCTGAGAAATAAATATCATTATTATAATACTTAAACAAAAAAAAACTAGCTTGCCGCGGTTAATTAAACTTTTACATTACTACGTTTTACGCAAAAATATAGTTAAACTGATTATAAAATGAAAAAATTAAAAAAAGTCGTGATATATTCGATTTTTCAAAAACTCATGATTTTTTCCATCCCTGGACCGACGCCTGTCTAACGACTTTTAGATCGGCCATGGCAATTTGTGTCCGGGAGGAAGATTCTCAGAAGGCGAGACAAAGGTAGGGTGGTACTCTTACGTGCTAAAGGTTGCACCTCCCTTGAGTTGGCTTAGCGCTCACAGGATCGACCTTATGTCTCACGGTGGCCGACGCAGTGGCTGTGCCCCTCAAATCTTTGCGGTTCAAAGCTCTGAATGGTACTGCAAATGTTATGGATAGGCGTGTCGCTTACCACCAGACGCACGACTTGTTCGTTTCGTCACTTGTATTTATTATATTAAAAAAAACTTTTACTATAGACACTTCCATAAAATTTCGAAAATATATCTATCAGTTGTCCTTATATTTTGGTTAAATAGGCATGTGCATGTTGTATAATAGCGTGTTTTTTGTATTGATGGGTAAAATGACCCCTAAAATATCGTAAAAAATTAATCTAATCTTGTATAAAATATAAGAATATTTCATACTATGTGAGCATTGTTAAGTATATTTATCGTGACTTTTATAGTGCTTTGCTGAATTCCTGTGAAACCCGTAAGTAAGTGTTTACCGTTTCCTACGACTTGTTTTTCTTTAAAATAATTATTTTATCGGCATTTTAAAGAAGAATATTCTAGTGGACTATAAATGTTAATCGGGTGGTAACGTCGAGTGATTACTTGTTACTTATTTACAAACGTGGGGTGAAGACTACCGCAGGCCAAAACCACGAATTTATTAAGAGTCTGTATACTTTTAAACTTTGCTTTTAACTTTAAAACCCACGTGGGCCCAAGACCACGGCCAGTGCAACCTGGCCGAAACGTCGGCAAACTAGGACGGTGTGAATAATACCTATTCGTATGTAAACGCGTTTATTCCCGTTTCCAAATGTTATTTATTAAAGGGCTTGAGAAATTATAATCACAAATTGATTCATAAATATTTTCAGAGTAATTTAACAATTTGTGTTGTAAGGTTTAGAAATTAATCCTTAATTTACGAAATTCGTGTTACATGTCCCATGGAACGGTCCTGTAGTATACTTTTATTCTTTAGTATACAGTAAAAAGTGTGGTATAATATTATTTCAGTATAATAACATTGTTGGCTTTAGTGGGAGTATACCCGTTGTCGCGGAATAAGGCTCTTTTAGACTAAGAGCGGTTATACACACGGTGACTTTTAGGAGCGGTACAAACGCGCGTTTGTGAACGCGTGATTGTCTCGCGACATTTGCGGTTTACAGGCGGTTGCATCGATGTAAACGCGCGATTGCGTTGAAGCTGAAGATGTTGAAAAATTAAAAACGTGTATCGCGTTTGCATCGCAATTGCATTGTGATTGTATCGCTGCTTAAGTCGCACGTGCATGTAAACGTAAACGATTAGCGACTGCATTGCTACTGCTTCGCGACTAAATCGATCCAGACGCGCTATTAAAATTTGCTCTGTGTGTAACTGCTTTAAGGTAAGGAAGGACTTAGACCGTAATATGAAAACGGACAGTACGAAGTTTTATTGGAAAATAATATCATTGGTTTTGTAGTGGCACAGAGTCAATGATATTGGAATTTGTATAGGTATAGGTATGGAATATTATTTCCAAGAAAAATGTATCTATGAAAATAAGCTTTCGCATTTGAGCATTAGGCCTATTTTTATATTACTATTTATTAAGATACGTAGTAGTTGTTCTGCATTGTTTAGACTTCTGTTGATGTGCGTCTGTTGAGTTTTGAAAGTGCAGAGGATGTACTGGTAGGTACATTAAAATGTATAGTAGATGTCTCAAGATACCCGAGTCCCTAGTCGACCTTTTGGTTTTGACTTTCCGTTGAATGCCTTCTTACGCATTGAACGGAAAAGTGTAAATGAATTCCAGCTTTTTTGTTAGAATTTGTATTTATGTAATGTAATTAAAGATTAAATGAGCTTAAAAAGTTTCTTAAAACGTCATTCACTATTGGTGCAATAAGGAACTCATACCAAAATAAATTTTACGGCTCTAAGGTTAAAGGTTTAACATCTTTTTTCATATTGATCTACTCAAATCCAAATAGACGGTTAGTGGGTCAGGTATCTTAGGGCAGGGACGGCTGCGAGGGCGGAAGAAGGCTCCCGGCCCGGACGGGGTACCGGGACGAGTCCTTCGCATTGCCCTGAAGCATCTCGGGACCCGCCTCAAGCATCTCATGGATGACTGCTTGAGGACGGGGTTGTTCCCGAGATGCTGGAAGGAGGGAAGGGTCGTCCTGGTGCCCAAGCCGGGCCGACCTGCGGACTCCCCCTCGGGGTTCAGGCCCCTCGTCCTGCTGGACGAGGTGGCGAAGATCCTGGAGCGAATCATCGCCTCCAGGATCAACGAACACCTGAGGGGGACAGGCCCCGACGTGTCGCAGCGGCAGTACGGGTTCAGGACTGGACTCTCCACCCTGGACGCCCTGGAGTCGCTGCGACACATCGTGGAGGAGGGTAACGGCGAGGGGGAAGGCGTGGTGGCTGTGTCGTTGGACATAGCCAACGCCTTCGGCACTCTCCCCTTCGCCGTTATCAGGGAGGCGCTGAGGTACCATAATATCCCCAGGTACCTCAGCCGTCAGGTGGAGCACTACCTGGAGGGCAGGGTTCCGTATTATGACCACTACTGTGGAACCTGGGGTACGATGGGTGCTGAGAGGCGCGCTGCTCCCCCGGACGGCGGTCATCGCGTACGCCGATGACACGCTGGTGGCCGTCCGTGGGACCACCTTCCAGGAGGCGGCCAGAAGAGCCTCAGTAGCGGCGGACATGATGGTCCGCCGAATACAAGTGCTGGGGCTCGAAGTCGCCGTGCCGAAGACGGATGTGGCCGTCTTCGGCGGGAGGGGTAGAGGTTGGGCGGTGCCGGCAGGCGCCCACATCTCCATCGCGGGAGTATCGGTCCCGGTCAAGTCTTGTCCTGGACCGGCGATGGAACTTCGGGGAGCATTTCCGGCAACTGGCTCCCCGAATAGTGGGCGCCGCATCGGCGTTGGGCAGGCTCCTGCCCAACCACGGGAGGCCAAGAGCCCCATGCTGAAGGCTATACGCCGGGGTGACCCGGAGTATGGCCTTATACGGTGCTCCCATTAGGAGTGGGGCCTTATCCCCATTACCCCATTACCCCAGAGGGTGGTCGCCCTGCGAATGTGCAGGGCGTACATGACGGTGGCCTGCGCTGCCGCATGCGTCCTCGCCGGTACTCCGCCGTGGGACCTCGAAGCCGAGGTCCTGGCGGAGGTCCGCACCTACCGGCGGGGAATGAGGGACTGACGGCGCAGCGCATGCGGGACCGGTAGAAAGAGAGCTTGGCGGATCCCCCCTATGGCGCTCGTACCATAGAGGCGAACCGCCCTGTCCTCGCAGAGTGGGTAAACCGGTCCCACGGGCCACTGTCGTACGCTGCTCATCCCACCGGCTACACACCTCTAGGGTGTGCTGCGCGGTGTCATCCGCAGCGCCGCACTCTGACGGGGACTGTAGGGCAGGACCTCTCGCTGCCGAACGTGGTTGTCGCCATGCTCGATAGCGAGGAGTCCTGGGAGGCGGTGGCCTCCTTTTGCGCAGAGGTTATGTCGCAAAAGGAGGCTGCGGAGCGGGTGCGCGAGGACGCGGCGGACGCGCACCCGCTTCGGCGCAGACGTACGGGGAGAAGGCGAAGGCAGTTCGCTGGTCGCCTGATCCCCTAGTGAGCGGGCTCTGGACAGGGACTCCGGAGCCTGCATGGCACGGCCTCACTCGTCTGGGGGGCGGGTCGGAGGACAACCGACTTGCCCCTCCGTTGGCGCGGGAGCCCTGGCGTAAGCTAGGGCGGCCGGGCGGCGTCGTGGTGAATGTTCACTGATCCCACGGCGCCGACTCAACCGGCGAGAGGGAAACCCGGGGGGGGTTTTAGTGGGGTAGGCCCTCCAGTCTGGAGGGAGAGTCCCCACACAACCCCTGAGTCTCCCACCCAGGGGTATCC